GTTTCGAACACGTGATCATGTGACACTTTGAACGGAGTAGTTTTTCGATTTAGAGAATTGTAATTTTGTGGAAGGCACGTGTATCGGTTTAGAAGCCCGTTACTTTTGTGGAACCCTATCGTTTTTGGCAAGTGTATCGGAATAGAAGCCCGTTACTGTAGAGATCTATTGGTTTCGAATAAAATCTATCACAATATTTTTTCATTATAGGCAAAACAAGAAGAAATTTCAAATTTTGTGCAAAGTGGGTTAACCTTTTGAACACATCCAAATCCACAAACGTCAAAATATTGAAAAAGCAAAATCTGGTTTTCTGTGCATGCCTGAACTGAAGATAACATTTTGCATCTGGAACAAAAGCCTGTCGAGTACTCCATCTGTAAACAGCATTTTAAACAGAGCCAGACAAGAGAGTGACCAGAGAACAGCTCAACAAGCTACAAAAAGCATTTTGATCTTCCCATTTGACAACCATGCTATCTTCATTCATTCAAAGAAATGTGATAATATCTTTCAAAATTGCTGCTTTATGACAAAGTACTACAAACGATTTATTATCTTGTGAAAGGTTTGAACCCAGGAGACATTTATTAAATAGATGGGATATCATCCTCATATCATATCCCACCTACTTATTTACCACCTTGTTTACATTGGTGTTTTTACCCTTCCATTAAACAGGTTCGACTGACGAAACCTGTCTGCTAAACATGACAAAAGACTCTTACAGCCACAAAAACAATCAAAACAATCAAATCTCACCTTAAAATGTTTTATCCAGAAATAGTAGACCTCTATACAAGGTTTTGGAGTCAACTTTTCTTCCACTGTACATAGCTTTGCTCACAGTTTGTATCCGATCAGACTACTGTTATCACCCTGTGTGGGGCAAACATAGCAACATAAGATGAAACTCTTGACCAATCAGAGTGCACAAATATCTTTTTAATCACCCAAATAATTATACTAAAATTATTTACCCTTGAGTTTACCAGTTTGTTTCCATTCTTGTCAATAAATAAGACATTTACCAGCGGGTAAATGCAGTTAATGGAACTTGACGCCCAAGGGGGGGTAGGCTGAGAAAGTCTTTCAAGGCCCTATTCATGGCTAGACCTTAATCACGATAAGTTGAGGTAGTTAATAGTACAACCCAATCCACTGCTTGGAAACTTGGGGTTGAAATCGCTTAAATCAGAATGGATCAGGAAAATAACCACACAGCAAGCAAAAGCAAGTAAAGTGAATTAGGTAAGGTGTATTTTATTGAAAATTCCAGCAAGTATTTACCTTCTTGAATCTTTTACCGGAATTCCCATACAAATCCTTTATGTTCACGGCCATTTTAAGGATTTTCCATATGAAACCACTTATATTAATGATTAACCTAACCTGAGATCAGGCGTTATTTTTTTTCTTTTTTTTGCTTCTTTGAAAACAGATTATAGAGACAAAGGGAGAGGGCATGATTGCAGGCTATGATTAACCTCTCCCACTGAGCTTGGGCCGCCTGTGGTCTGACTACAGTGTTTGAACCTACCTTCACGTTTTGTGAATAATACATCGAAAATAAGGTCTCCCAAGTGAACTACAGGCTTGAGGCTAGAGTCTTCATTTCACCTCATTCACTGTTTGGACAAGTTAGATAAAGGATTTTTCCAAGCCAGGATTCGTTTACTTGAAATATGTTAACTTCTGAAGCGGACACCCACAGCCGGCTACATATCTTCTTTTGCACGTGCACGATTTCCATGAAGTATCGTTCAGTGTCTCACTACTTTCACGTCTTCAGCACACTTTCAGGAACTTTCAAAAAGACTGTCCCACTTTCTTGATTTGGAATTTTCCTTAACAGCGTATTTCTAAATCACTTTGTCATTTAAAACTCTTTAAAACTTTGAAAACAGACCATTCTGTCACTAGCTATACCGCCATCTTGGCAAAATGATGATGCGCAATAGAGTTGCGCAGTGAACACACATGGACATTCACGAGTCCCCAGATACATAGAAGCGAGGTTATTTGAGGACGGTACTTTTGCAGAAATTTTATATTTACGCATTAACTTCCATTTACTTTCATCCGCAGTATCCGCATCCAATAGAGGGCTAACCGTAGGTCCCATCTCACAGCACTTTCACTGACTTGTTCTTGTGGCACTTAAAAACCCACATCACTATTCGAAAACTTTACGGGTTGTTGGATTCGGTAGGGATGGCACCTCGCATGGGACCTGAGTCCCTTTCGTGCACATTCCCTCTGGGCAGGCTTGTGTCCAGGAAAGCTGGTAAATGAATTAATAAGGGGCGTAGGGTAAATACTAATGAGCGTAAATGAAGGCGGATGAGGGTGAATGAAGGCTAATGGGAGTAAATGAAGGCGGATGAAGGCTATTAGTTGTAGATGAAGGCGGAGAAAGCTGAATGAAAGCGAATGGGGACACTGAAGGTGGATGACCGGTGAATGAATACTGATGGGGTAGATGAAGGCAGATGAAGGTGAATGAACGCTGGTGGAGGTAGCCGAAGATGAATGAACGCGAATGGGGCTAGGTGAAGGCGGGTAGAGGTGAAGTAAAGGCTAGTGTGGGTAGATGAAGCCGGCTAATGGGGATAAATGACGGCGGTAGACGGTAGACGAAGGTGAATAAATGCGAGTAGGGGTAGATGAAGGTCAATGAAGGCTAATTGGGGTAGATGAAAGTGGATGGATGTAAATGAAGGCTAATGCCGTGATGGTTGAAGGCGGATGTAGTTCAATAAAGGCTTATGGGGGTAAATGAAGGCAGATGAAGCCCAATGAATGTTAATGATAAAGGCAGACAAAGGTGAATGAATGCCAGTGGAGGCTAATGATGGCGGATAAAGGTGAGTAAAGGCTAATCGAGGTAGACGAAGGTGAGTAAAAGTGAATTTGGGTAGATGAAGACGGATGAAGTTGAATCAGGAGGGTTGATGGGTGTAAATGAACGCAGATGAGAGTTACACAAAAAAGCGGCAAACAGTTCGGGGAAAATCCACTGCCATTTTCACCTTTCACTTATGCAGGATTAGCATAAGCGCTATTGGCAATTACCTTGATTAAAGATAAAGATTCACCTACGAATCATTCCAGATAAAATTCCCCACTTAGTTTCCTGCAAAGTTATCCATCCACTCTGATCCATCGGAAAGAGAGACGATAAAAATGTGCGCAAAAAATATGAGATTCAAACTGTGGCTTTTGTGCATGCGTCAAAAACAAAACTGAAGCTTAATTACACCCAATTTGTAGGAAAGTATACCATTAGTGTACGAGTTACAAATCTCATTTTAAGCCATTTCCAAGCTAAATAGCGTGAAAGCTGGTCCAAAGAGGAGTGGGTAAAAATGCAGGCGTTCGCTTCTAAAATTCTAAAGGCAAGGTGTTAAGGGGTAACGTAACTAGCNAAGTTATCCATCCACTCTGATCCATCGGAAAGAGAGACGATAAAAATGTGCGCAAAAAATATGAGATTCAAACTGTGGCTTTTGTGCATGCGTCAAAAACAAAACTGAAGCTTAATTACACCCAATTTGTAAGAAAGTATACCATTAGTGTACGAGTTACAAATCTCATTTTAAGCCATTTCCAAGCTATATAGCATGAAAGCTGGTCCAAAGAAGAGTTGGTAAAAATGTAGGTATTCGCTTCTAAAATTCTAACGGCAAGGTGTTGAGGGGTAACGTAACTAGCATCTGAAATTAAAAATAAGACAAAGACACCATTGATTTACCTACTTTTATTATTTATTGAAGAGGTTTAATTCAAAATAATTTATCATGCGTTGTTTACCGATACGGTGTAAAAAAACTCTAAGATATAAATACATTTTTACAGTGGCAAATGTAACGATGTACAAATAGCTATGTTCTTTGTGCAGCCGATTCAGATAGAATGCTTTACTACATGGGCTGCCTCTACTACAGTGGGGCCGGATCTCTTCACACGCGGGTCAGCTATAGGAACAGCCAGCCTATTAAAACAGAAATAGTGACATTAGTATTAGGCGTAGTCTAGTTGGATCGCACGCGGAGGACGGAAAGCGCAAAACGTGACCGAAGAGGTGCGCGCTCCCCTTGAACGCGCTTCTATTGTAATATAAATATAGGACAGAGAGGCGACTGGGACGAGTCAGGTATTAGCCTGTTCCACACTAAAATGGCAAAAAGTAGTTTCCCTAAAAAGGATTATAATTTTTGCAGCTTTTGATTCCGAAAAGCGCACAAAAGTTGACACTCTTGAAATCAAGTTTCAGAAACTTCACACACCAGTCAAGGTAAACTTTCGCGTGAAAATTGAGCGATACTTGACAAGACCCCGGGGACAAGCCTTTATTTTACCGCGCCCTAGTGGAGTGTTATATGAGTGGCTATGAGCCTGTGAATAAGATCCACGTTACTCCAATCTTGGTAGACTGTGAGCGGACTCTTACTAGTTAATCGAGTTGAGAATAAGTTGAAAAGGGGCGAACAAAACGGGAAGGAGATTACAGGGAGCTGCTCGCCCTCGCGAAAATCGTAAAGACTGCTAACAGTCTACATTCTTAATTGGAGAGGGGGGGTGGAGTTTTCGACTTTTCTCAGTGCAAATCGAGCACCACACGTAGCAGCCTTTATAAGAAAGGAAGACAATAAAAAAGGAGGTTTAATTCACAGAACTGATTTCTTGATGCACAAAAACAAGCCAACAAGTACAATGGAGAGAGGTGTTGACCCTTGCCACAATCATAAGGAACTGCTTAGAGTCCACAATCCTGGGGGGAAGGGGATGTGGATGCTTTGCCCGGGAAATCGGCACCTCAAATGACAATCTTTTTAGAAAAGGAACGAAAAGGAGAATGGAAAGGAAATCCATAGAATTGATTTATTAATAGTCCTATCCAACCTCGTTCCGGTGGCCATATTTGTGCCCCTCAAAGGGACACCAACATGGCGTCTCCATACAAAGCCTCATAATTTTCAGAATATCTGGCATATGAATTATCGCACAGACCTGGTTCTTGGCCAGGCTTTCTGTATATTTATCTTCTTTCATTTCCCAGATTCTGGACTTTTTCTATTGACAGGTTAGAATTTTTATTTTTGATGGCGTTCAAAATTCGTGCCCACTTTGTACAACGCTTTTTTACATTTTTTTAAGCGCTTATCCTGGGGCGCTTATCGTCATCACATTTCATTCAGTCTTACCTGACATTCGTTTTGCTGTTGACAATAAATAGTGGGTTGTACTGACTCAAGATCTCATCATTGACTGAAATACCTGAAAATAACAAAAAAAAAATCATTTGTTAAAGGTACAGTTATCTTGGGGATACCAAAGGGCTGCAGTGTCGCCTGTCTCGTTCACTCACAGGCGGCCCAAGCTCAATATGAGAGTTTGCCTGTACAGATGGAACTTGGTGCGCTCTCTTTTGTGTTACTTCTGACGCTTCAAAGTAGCGCGCTCTGTTCTGTGTTCGTTTGTGACACTAGAACTTAGCTCACTCCATTTTGTGTTTCCTTGTGGCACTACAACTTAGTGCGCTCTGTTTTGTGTTTGTATGTACAGCTACACCTTACCTTACCCCATCTTGTTTTTTCTTGTACAGTTACAATTTGGCGCGCAATGTTCTGTGTTTGTTTGTACAGCTACAACTTAGCTCGCTACATTTTGAGTGTGCTTGTGACACTACAACTTAGCGCGCTCCGTTCTGTGTTATTTTGTCCAGCTATTTAGCACGCTTGATGTCAGTTTGTTTGTGACGCAACACCTAAGCGTGCTCTTTTCTGTGTTTCCTCGTGACGCTACAAACTTACCGCGCTCCATTTCATCTTGTTTTGTTGTTGACAATTGCTTGTGATACTACAATTTAGCTTGCTCCATTTGTGCTTGTTTGTAACGCTACAACTTAGCTCGTTTCATTTATGTTTGTTTATGACGCTTCAACTTAGCTCGCTCCATTGTGTGTTTGCTTGTGCCTCTACAACTTAGCGCACTGTGTTCTGTGTTTGCTTATACAGCAAAACTTAGCTTCCTCTATTCTGTGTTTGCTTGTGACGCTATAACTTAGAACACTTCGTTTTGTGTTTGTTCATGACGCTACAACTTAGCACGTTCTGTTTGTGTTTGCACGGTACAGCAAAGACTTAGCGCGCTAAATTTTGTGTTTTCTTGTACGGCTTCAGCTCAGCGCGCTCTCTACCTGGTTTGCCTGCACAGCTACAACTTAACACGCTCCTTCTTGTGTTTGTTTGTGGTGCTACATCTTTGCGCGCTCTGATTTGGGTTAATTTGAGTCGCAAAACCTAGGCGCGCTCCATTTCGTCCGTTTACATGTAAAGATCTTTTTTACCTTACTCCGTTTTGTGTTCTTTGTACAGCAACAGCTTAGCTTCCCTCATTTTGTGTTTGCCTGTATAGACAGAACTTGGTGCGCTCTCTTCTGTGTTACCTCTGACGCTTCAACGTAGCGCGCTCTGTTCTGTGTTCGTTTGTGACGCTACAACTTAAGTCGCTCCATTTTGTGTTTGCTTGTGACGCTACAACTTAGCACGCTCTGTTCTGTATTAACTTGTGACGCGACCACTAATCGCGCTACGTTTTGTTTCTTTCCGACGCTACAACTAAGAGCGCTCCATTTTGTGTTTGCGTGTACAGCTACGCCTTACCTCACTCCGTTTTGTCTTTGCTACAAATTGGCGCGTAATTTTCTGTGTTTGTTTGCACAGCTACAACTTATAGCTCGCTTCATTTTGTATTTGCTCTTGATGCTACAACTTGGCGAGCTCTGTTATCTGTTTCCTCGTAAAGCTACAACTTGGCGCGCTCTGTTCTGTGATTGCCTATACAGCTACAACATGGCGCGCTCTGTTCTGTGATTGCCTATACAGCTACAACTTGGCGCACTCCGATTTGTGTTTTACGTACAGCCACAACGTACCTCACTTCGTTTTGCCTTTCCTTGTACAGTTACAACTTAGCACGGTCCTTTTCGTGTTTGCTTGTACAGCTACGTACAACTTAGCGCGCTCTGTTTAGTAATAACTTAGCACGCTTTTTTTTTAAGTTTGTTTGTGACGCAACATCTTAGCGCGCTCTAGTCTGCATTTGCTTGAGACCCTATAACTAATCGCGTTTCGTTTTGTTCGCACGCACAGTTACACTAATACCTTACTCCGTTTTGTCTTTGCTCGTACAGCTACAATTTGGCGCGCAATGTTCTGTTTGTTTGCACAGCTACAACTTAGCTCGCTCCATTTGTGTCTGCTTGTGACACTAAAACGTAGCGCGCTCCGTTTTGTGTTATTTTAACCAGCTAAAATTTAGCGCTCTTGATTTCAGTTTCTTTTTGACGCAACACCTAAGTGCGTTTTTTTTCTGTGTTTCGTTATGACGCTACAACTTACCGCGCTCCGTTTTATTTTTCTTGGTTATTGACGCTACAACTTAATTCACTCCATTTTGTGTTTGCTTGTGATGCTACAACTTAACTCGCTTTATTTGTGTTTGTTTATGACGCTTCAACTTAGCTCGCTCCATTTTGTGTTTGCTTGTGCCCCTACATTTTGGCGCGCACGGTACTGTGTTTGCTCATGCAGCTACAAACTTGACGCTCTCTGTTCTGTTTACTTATACAGCTACAACTTAGCTTCCTCTCTTCTGGTTTTGCTTGTGACGCTACAATTTAGCTAGCTCCGTCTTGTGTTTGTTTGTGATGTTACATATTTGCGCGCTCTGATTTGAGTTAATTTGGGACGCAATACCTAAGCGCGCTCCATTTCGTGTTTGCATCTAAAGCTTTAACTTGGCGCACTCTGCTCTAATTTGCATGTACAGCTAGGACTTTAGCTCACTCCTTTTTGTCTTTGCTTGTACAGTTACAACTTGACACGGTCTGTTCTGGGTTTGCTTCTATAGCAACAGCTTAGCGTCCTTCATTTTGTGTTTGCCTGTAGAACTTGGTGGTCCTTCGTGACAGAACTTGATGCGCTCTCTTCTGTGTTATTCTGACGCTACAACGTAGCGCGCTCTGTTCTGTGTTCGTTTGTTACGCTACAACTTAGCACGCTTAGTTTTTGGTTTGCTTGTCACGCTACAACTTAGCACACTCTGTTCTGTGTTTGCTTGCACAGCTACAACTTAGCCAGCTCCGTTTTGTGCTCGCATGTACGGAAACAAATTAGCGCGCTCCATTTTGTGCTTTCTTGTACATGGTTCAGCGCGTTCTGTTCTGGGTTTGCTTGCACAGTTTCAATTTAGCACGCACCGTTTTTTTTTTTTCATCCTACATCTTAACACACTCTGATTTGAGTTTGTTTGTGTCGCAACACCTTAGCGCGCTCCATTTCGTGTTACATGTAAAGCTACAATTTGGCGCGCTCTGTTGTTCAATTTTGCTTGTACAGCTACAACTTGGCTCGCTCCGGTTTGTGACAGTTCGTAGAGCAACAACGCTGCGCGCTCTGATTTAAGTTTGTTTTTGACGCACCACCTCAGTCCGCCCAATTTGTGCTTACATGTAAAGCTACAACTTGGCGCGCTCTGTTCTATATTTGTTTGTGCAGCAACAACTTAGCGCGCTTTGATTTAAGTTTGTTTGTGACGCAACACCTAAGCGCGCTCTGTTCTGTATTTGCTTGTGACGCTACACCTAATCACGCTTCGTTTTGTGTTTGTTTGTGACGCAAAAACTGAGCTTCCTTCATTTCGTGTTGCCTGTACAGATAGAATTTGATGCGCTCTCTTGTGTTATTCTGACGCTTCAACGTAGCGACTTCTGTTCTGTGTTCGTTTGTGACGCTAGAACTTAGCTCGCTCCATTTTGTGTTTGCTTATGACGCTGAAACTCTTAGCGCGCTTCGTTTTGTGTTTGCTTGTGACGCTACAACTCTTAGCTCGCTCCATTTTGTGTTTGCTTATGACGCTAAAACTCTTAGCTCGCTCCATTTTGTGTTTGCTTATGACGCTAAAACTTTTAGCGCGCTTCGTTTTGTGTTTGCTTGTGACGCTACAACTCTTAGCTCGCTCCATTTTGTGTTTGCTTATGACGCTAAAACTCTTAGCTCGCTCCATTTTGTGTTTGCTTATGACGCTAAAACTCTTAGCTCGCTCCATTTTGTGTTTGTTTATGACGCTAAAACTCTTAGCGCGCTTCGTTTTGTGTTTGCTTGTGACGCTACAACTTAACGCGCTCTGTTTTGTGTTTGCTTGTACAGCAACAATTAGCGCGCTCTGGTTTAAGTTTGTTTGTGACGCCCCATCTTAGCCCGCTCTACTCTATAATTATTTGCTTGTGGCGCTAGAACAAATCGCGCACCGTTTCGTGTTTGTTTGCGACGCTACACCTCAGCACGGTCCATTTTGTGTTCGCATGTACAGCTACACCTTACCTCACTCCGTTTTGTCTTTGCTACAACTTGGCGCGCAATGTTCTGTGTTTGTTTGCACAGCTACAACTTATAACTCGCTCCAGTTTGTGTTTGCTTGTGACACTACAACTTAGCGCACTTCGTTTTGTGTTTGGTTCTAACGTTATAACTTAGCTTACTTCATTTTGTGTTTGCTCGTGATGCTACAACTTTGCGAGCTCTGTTATCTGTTTCCTCGTAAAGCTACAATTTTAAGCGCTCTGTTCTGTGATTGCCTATTCAGCTGCAACTTCGCGCGCTCCGATTTGTGTTTTATGTACAGTTACAACGTACCTCACTTCGTTTTGCCTTTGCTTGTACAGTTACAACTTGGCATGCTCTGTTTTGTGTTTGTATTAACAGCTACAACTAAGCGCCCTTCGTTTTGTGTTTGCTTACGCAGCTACAACTTAGCGCGCTCCATTTAATGTTTGCATGTACAGCCACCACCTAGCTCGCTCCGTTTTGTGTTTGCTTATATAGCGACATGTTAGCTCGCTTCGTTGTGTGTTTTCTTGTGACGCTACGACTTAGCACGCTCTTTTTAGTGTTTGCGTGTACAGCTACGTACAACTTATATAGCGCGCTCTGTTTTGTTTTCGCTCGTACAGCTACCACTTAACGAGCTCTGTTCAGTGTTTACTTGTTTAATTAAAACTTAGCGGGCTCTATTTTGTGTTTATACAGCTACAACTTAGCGCTCTCTATAATGTGTTTGCTTGTAGAGGTACATCTTGTTTTTGTTTGTGACGCTTCATTTAAGCGCACTTGGGTGTGTCTGCTTGTGACGCCACAACTTAGCTTACCGGGGTCCTTACCTTATTTCATGTTGGTTTTGTTACACTAAACTAGCGCGCTTATTTTGTACTGTTTGTGACGGTAGAAACTAGCCGTCTCTGTTTGTTTTTGGCTTTGTGTGTTTGTAATAAACAGCCTTCTTTGTTTTGAGATAATTGGTTAAAAGTTATAAACTTGCTTAATAGTCAGATTGAAATAAAGAAACATACCATCTAGGTACTGCTTTAGAACTGCTCTTAGCTGCTGATTTTCTTGTAAGAGAGTGTGCTTCTCTTTATCAAGAGCCAGCTTGTCAAGCAAAACCTAAAAAAAAGAATATACAGCGTTGAATGCCTTATCCATAGCTAACAAATGGTTTGAGTTACGAATGAATCTTAAACTTAAATAGTAAAATAAACCTACTTACACTTTCACAAGGGTTATTGGCAAAAAATGCAGAAAAGGAAAACCAAACATTCTGTCATGGTCCACTTTATAGGGTAAATTGGAAGATAGGAACATAGGAATGAAAACGTTTTGCTTGAGTGGATTACGGAATAATTTTCGCAAGTTATTTTTTAAGACTTAACCCACGATAAGGCGGTCCTTCTTCTCCTTTTGGATGTTTGTTTGAGCTGTGAAAATCATCTTGAAAATCTTCTTTAAGTTATGGACAGAAATAATCCCAGGTGGGTGGGGTTGGTGGTACCTCAGGACCTTATTTTGTCCTCTGTGTCTGAACTTCCCTTCCACACCCCGAGGTGCACTACAAGCTACTACATATGGCTAATCTTAACTGCTTGCAATTTATATGGTTTGTAGTTAGTTTGAAAAATTTACAACCACCATGCAGCTGAAGCTAAACAGTGTGAATAGTGCTGTTCACAAAAAATATATCAAATCACAATGCCGCACCTTGCCCTGTTGTATAAATGGCTACCAGGGGATTTAATGCTGGAGTAACTATGCAATGGACTGACATCCCATCCAGCATGGGTTGGGGAGAATAGAAATATTCCTTGTCACTTCATACTGCAGAAACCAGGTAAAAATGTTCCTGCCTGATGAGCTAATTGGCTGAACTACAGACTTTACCTTTGCCTGTCCTTATAAAACAAACTAAACAGTTGAAGCCAGCACTCTACAACTGATAATCTTGTTTATTACATACCTTATTGTATCTCTTCCAAAAATTTTCCAGAGCAGAGTATTCATGAAGAATCTGTAAGTTACGCAGCAAAGCAAGGGTTATAATTAAATGCATTGTGTGACCTCTCCTCTAAATGATGTTTGTAACATCTGAGTATAATGGACACTGCTCTAAACTCATGCACTGCCGTGGATTTTGATGGAGCTATCATTTTCTTACACGTGAAAAAGCATTGTTGCTGGCTAAATCTTTAATAGGAATGAAAAGTCAACAGTCATTAAATGTCTTTTGTTTGCTAAAAAGGCAGTTGGTTGAAGTGTAATGTTGTTCCATAATTTAATTAAAAACATTAACCTGAATTTAATTTTGACCGGTAACATTATGATATTATTCACCTCTGGCTCAATTAATATTGTTAAGGGGATTAATCACCAATATTTACTTCACCTTGCAGCAAATAATTGTTAAATTGTACATTGGTTTGAAAAGAAGTTGTAACGACAAAGACTGATCAGTCCCCTGGAACACAGTTTGGCAATGCTCTTGGAAATCATGCATTGTGCGTGCAACCTAACTAACTACTCTGTAAGTTGCACCGATTTCCAAATTTAACTGAAGGATTCTAACAATTGAGAAGACAGATGGTGAGCACAATGTATAATAAAACCACTAAAATACGTCAGTAAATTATCTAGGAGAGTAATAGTCTTTACCTCAGCCAGTGGCTCAGATGGAGCTTCCTGCATAGCAGCTGCTACATCATCATCTTCCTCAGGAGAAAGAGATGACGCATAAAATGGAAGAACTTTTTCAGCTTCTGTCTCCAGTTTACGACACATCTCAGAAAGTTTAAGAATGCGCTCACCCTAAAAACCAGATAAAATGGGTAATAGTGTCATATGCATTCTGTAAGACTTGTTACTTCACATTTACATTTATGGGGATATTACCTTTTTGGTTTGACAAGAAGTCTGATTTGCAAAATATACCATTATTTTATAAAGTGAAAGTAAGTTATTCTTTTCACGCTGAGGGTATTAGTGTTTACCTTTTCACTTGTCCTCTTGAGTTCTTTGATTGCCACATTACTTTGAAGTGTGAGCTGAGTAAGGCGTGACCTAAAGAGAGATTTCACAAGATATGAAAAAATACAATTTCTACTTATAAGAGCAGGAATTAGGAAAACTTGATGAAATAAATAGATGAATGCATAGGTGGGCAATGATTATTCCTAACCTACAGATAACTCAGAGTCCAAAATGTTTTAATTTCATTGTTTTAATATTTTTGTGTGGAAGTTCCCATCAAAGAGTTATGATTCTTTACATTATGTGGCAATATAACTGTTATGAGAAATTATTGTTTATATACCTTTCTGAATCTCTCATCTTGTTCATTTCAGCTTTCAAGTCATGAAATTGAGTTGCAACTACTTCTCTTTGCTAAAAATCAACAATCATCAAAACCATCAATAAAGAATAATACACATCAATCTACAGAGTACCATTGTTAAACCCAATGATATCGCACCTGACTTCCTATGGCTCATAAATACTTGCACACTATTCTCTTGGGTGTGTAAGAGCCACTTTCTCCCCCTTCCCCCCAAGCCACACCCTTTTCTTAGGCCAAAATGAATAAGGGCAATACTGTTACTAGGAAATTACACTCTCGTTGGCCACCATCACCTGCTATTAATAAATACACAGCAACCAACAACAGTGTAAACTGTGCAAGATATCAAAGCTGATAACATTAACAACTGGCTTAGGCCATTTATGAGTAATAAATAGGGACCAACAAGAACTGTAAGGTGTTAAACTAAAATCCACATAAGGCAGTAAAATGATCTGCCCAGGTTTGTGTCCTGCAAAGACACAATTTGTTAATATCTATTACTTTATACCTCTTTAATGAGTCTGTTTCTTTCATCACATTCTTTAGCATTGCTTGCCATTTTAGCCTTTAGCTGGGAAATGTTATCCTAAATGAAAATCATGATGTAAAGTTAAAAGATCACAAAAATGTTGCATTGCTAATAGCACTCTCAACATGTAAGTCATTCCCAAAAGGATGATATATTGACAGCACTGCCATATTAATAATTCCACAATGAAATTCCTATGAGTAAAAAGTACTGTAATTCCAGATTTCCTTGGTTAATGCAAAGCATAGAGTGACATTATTATTATAATAATGCTTTATAATTATTATAGTGTATTCTCTGCCCTTTATGGAGCTTTTCTGGGATAATGAAGCAAATAATTCAAATGGACCACAACATGGTTAAAAATCTCAACTGACAGGAGGCGAACCAGGTGGCTATTTTACAGGCATGACCGAGGATTTGAACTTGCAACTACTGAGAGCAAAATCCAGCTAGTGGTCAGGGTTAGCCTGCATAGCTGGCGGTATTGTGTAGTAGTCGAGTGAGATTTGGTGGCGGAGCCGTCACGAGCGGCGAAGCCGCGAGAAATACCGCCTGCCAGAGAACCATGATTTTTCGAATGCCGCCCACTTTTGTCACGTTAGCTGATCCCAATTAAATCAGCCAATCAAAGAGAAATTAGTTTAGAAATAAGCGTTGACAGGCTAAACACGACTCCTAAGCTCGTGACAATGTGAAACGTGACCTTGTGAGTTTGCTTGAACAGAGGTTTTTTTTTATTTTCTCGGCTCTAGCTCGAAGGTTACTAGCACTACACAGTGCATGTATCATTCTAAACTTTGACTGAGTAAATCTTTTTTTGCAACACTAGGCTTAACATTAAAAGGCCATGAAGCTGGTTTGTTACATGCATACTGAGTAACCATTTCCGGTGGTTTATTCTTCTGTAGGTGTTCCTGATAGGATTTGATCTCAGATGCAGTTGTAAAGTGTTTTAATTTTCTTTGACCTTTGTTTCTTACGGCTAAATTAAGACAATTCCAGCGCTGTGAAGTTTAAAGACGCCATTTCGGCAATTTGGTCATCAATTATGCTCTTTCTAAAGCGGAAATCACAATCACTTTACATGTACGTCTTCTCCAGTTTGCCATCTGCTCCCTAAATTGGGAAATATACGCGAAGGCTCATCTAACATGATTGACATATGTATGGCCCTCGACCAATCCGTTTCCCCGCACACTGGTGTGCGGACCATTCAAAATACCGGGGTTTTCTGGCAGGCGGTATTTCAACCGCCTCGTCCCTACTCCTTTTTTTTGGAACACGGCTCCACCGCCAAAACTTTAATCTCGCACCCACACAATACCGCCAGCTACGCAGGCTAGGTCAGGGTGGGACTTGAACTCGGGGGCCTCCAGGTTACAAGTCCAGCGCTCTAACCACTCAACAACAATGCCTCCCATAATCAGCCCAGCAAAAGGAAAAAAAATGAGGTGAGAAAAATGAAAGAGGAGGGGAGGAGAGAGTCAGAGCACATGCTCAAACTTCAGAAGGTAAAATTTTACATTTGGATCGAACTAGCTTCAAAACGCAACTTTTGGCAAAATTACCAGGAGCAAAGGTTAAATAACTCCCACAAATGATGATCTCTTAAAAGTGACAACTTACAGATAATGACACAAATTATGGTCGGAAATTTTCCATTCTTTTAAACATTCTCCATGTATCAGTCCAAATGGCCCTCATAATGCATTTTTGATATGTAATGGTCAAAATTTTTCTTTAGTTTTATGATTTTTGACTTCAGAGCACTAAATTACATGATAGAAATTTTTAATTTCCCATGTCACTTACAGTAATTATAAGTCTGGAAATCTTCAACTCCCCAACTTCAACTCTACCCATTTCTAAACACTCTGGCTCCCTAGCCAGCTAGCCACTCCTATTTTGAGAAACAACTCTTTTATGTGGCACAACTACTCATTGCCCCACAAAAAAATCTGGGAAGTCTGTATCATAAAGGAACCAGAAGTGATAACGCAAAATTTCACCCGTTCTTTTGGGCTATACCACTTCCCTCTGAAAACTTACAGAAAAGGTTTCTAGGTCCTTAATACAAACCTGTATTCTCTGAAGTTTTCTCATCTGGGTCTCTATTTCATGAGCACTTTTCTCATCTTTAGCTTTGAGATTTTCAAAGGCCAGTTTTCTTTCCTCTGTTGTCTCATTGTAATTCTTCAGGGCCTGAAAATAAAATTAAGAACAATTTGATTACCAATAATAAAAAGAAATCCAAGCTAAATATTGATAAAAGCAATTTTGCTTTAAATAATCAGGTACTGATTCTTATTGTCTACCTGAAAACTTTTATAACTTGCATTCATGCAGCTGGCTGTGTCTCTTCTTTGCTCACTACCCGGTTTGTCAAACATGCTTTTTAAGGTTCATCTAAGAGTACAAGTGCTTACTTGTTGAAATTGCCTCCACAAATCTTCCACTGTTCCCTCCAATTGTATTCTTAAAGCATGCTTTTCTTCAAGGTTCTAATAAAGATAAAAGTAAGAAATACATTACTTTACAACACACGTTCAAGGCATGTTCATCAAGTTATTGGTATGCAGCGAAAGTTTTATTGAGATGAAACAATGTGGCAGATATACCTTGTGGGCATATTCCAGAAATGGTTAAGCCGTTATTGTTATTGAGTCATTAATTCAAAGCTTTCTTAGCAAACTTTACCACTAACAGTTACCTTGTTTTTTATTTCATCTCTGAGGCTTTGAAAGTCTTGCTTAGCGTCATTTTCCAGTTCATTCCACTCTTCTTCCATAGCAAACATGATGTCCTGTATGTCATGCATTTCCTTTCTATGTTGACTAACTATCTTCATTCTAAAAATAACCAAATACGTTTTAAAGATCTGCACAGCATCAAACGATGGTTCTCAAAGTAAATTTCATGAAGTTTTATTTTTCTACACCCTATTCGTTAATTTTAACACCCAATCTTACATTTAACAGTATCTCAGAGAAACAATAATTTCATAATTTCTTAAGCTACAATCTCATCACCTTTCTGTGTCAAATTCTTCTTTTAGGATCTCCTGTTCTTGATCATATTCATCTTGGGCTTCTTGTAGCCTTCTTTGTTGTAAATCTTGAAAGCAAAGGTGCAAAATGAGCCATTCACAGTGAACTTAAATTTCACTAGTTTGATCATCATAATGCATAGGCAAAATGAACACTGATGCAAAGAAAAGAATTTCTAGCATTTCTTTTGTCATTGTAGCTGTCTCAACTTAAATAAAACAAATTTACCTAGACCACTTCATGTATGCCTCTAGTTAAGAAGGCTCATAAAGGGTGCTACTTGTAAAAAGATTACTAAGTTTACTTCTCTCAGTCCAACTCCGATCTATCCGTGTTTATTTTTTTACTTCAACATCTTCATTCAGTATGTACATGTCAGCGAAACAATAATTTATCCTTCACAGAATATGCAAAAGGTAGCTGTATTAACAAAATTACAACCTAAAGTCTTTCAAGCTGTACATACCTATTAACCTGTCCACATTCTGTAAGTGACTTCTAAGAGCCATTTGGTATTGTTCTTCAGCTTCTTCAATATCCTTCACTAGAGACTTTATAATAGCCTCTTTTCTGTCTATTACACGCTCAAACGTTTGACTCAGTATCTCTATGTCTTTCTTCAGTTCTTGTGATTTAGCTGTTCAAATTGAAAAAGATATAGCATTAAACAATTCAGTGTAAAATTTTAAAAGAGTCTTTAAAACCTTCTCTCATTAAAAACTTGCTGCCACATTGAATTTGATGTTATATGAAAAACAGACATAACATAACTGTTTAGTTCATACTTAAGCTGTGCGTATAACCATGTTCTGATTGAGAAAACTGCATGGCTTTATCAAAAACATTGTTAAATATGGCTGTAATTATGAGGATTCATTTCAAGCATTTTATTACATCACAAGGGAAAAACGCATTTGACCAGTGGTGTGCGACAAATGCAGACTGCAGACTGTCAAGTAAGTGAGGTAAGCATTGCTGTGAAATGCTTTAACACATTCCCTATCCCTAAACTTTAA